ACAATCTTTAATGTGTGTAACGTTTCATAAATGTAAATAAAGGGGGGTTTTAGTTTTAAGACTTGAAAATTGTTTTAAACACGAAGATGAATGAATTATGTGATCCATGTGATAAAAACTTAGTTTTACTACCTTTCACTTGTTGAAATGTTTATTGATCACAATTATTTTTTTAACTATTCGCTCTTGAATACTCAGTTGTGGAGTATATTCAATTCATCAAGAATAGTATTAATAACGATTAACGAGACGCGTTCTTCAGTAACTCTTACTACATAGTCAATATAAAACAAATGCCTTGTATTGATTCGATAGTAACAATATATAACTTTTAGATGAAATCAATTGAGATTGACAATTCATCACAAGTGGTTTTTGGGTTTACTCAATATACTTATCCCCTATTAGATTATTAACAACGAGACGCGTGCATTAATAATCTAAGATTGTTACTTGTGAAATATTGGTTCATTGATTGTTTTTGGTAGTAATTATCGTTAAAGTGTTAACTAATCATTGCTTAACAACACCCCAACATTAATATAGGGATATGATTAGGGAAGAATTACTACTGGAAGAGAATTTTAAGAAAATATCTCACAACTTTAACATTTAACAAGCTTCAAGATGAAGAAGTTTAGCTCGTCATTTGAGTCTAAACACATGAGAAAATATAAGAATTATACTAATCTAAACTGAGCTTAATGATGAGGGGTCATGAATATGAAAAGTTGTAAGGAAAGGGGTGCTTTTATATGGGTTTGAACTTGCTGGGTCTGATACTTGATCTGGTATCCTCAGCAGTAACTACAAAGTGCTGAAATCAAATCATACCTGACCGCGTATGTCAATATACCCCACCAAGTATATGATCATATATGACCTTCTCACGTTCTCTTTGTTTGATCTCATATGTGATAGAGATCAAGGATGGCATTACCTACTATAAGAAAGTATATACTAGAAAGGGAAAGGGGACTAATAAATATTTAGCTTGTTTGTATAGGGGAGCCGAGTGAGATATTATAAATAGGAGGTGTGATGTTTAGTTAAGGAGGCTGAAATTATCTTTTGGGTTTAGGACTTGGAGAGCTGACACTCTTTAATTGCCTTTGTATTTCTCTCTCTTCTCTGTTAATCGACCTTCTTGATACAATTCACTCTTTCTTCCATCTTTCTTTTCTTGAATTAACTTCAAAATTAGCTGGTACTTATCAATATGATTCCCGGTCGAATCATAGAAGACTTATACATGACCGAGTATGATGCCAAATCAGATTTCTTGCTTGAAATTTTGCTCCGTTGCACCTTCCTTTGATCTGTAAGATCCCTTACATGTTCCTTTGTTGCAAATAAATTGATCCAAACTTAGGATCCTCTAAAACTATCAAATTACAATCATCATCATCATTACCCCAGTGCCGCAAAGGCTCCCACAGAAACACTGTTTCCGGATGACTCATGGTGAAAATCGTGTCAAAAATATGTCATACATTCATTATGTCAAAGTTAGCTAATACGACATATCTGTATTTGTTATATGAAATGATTTAATTTTCACATTTCATACATTCATTATGACAAAGTTAGACTGCCACCTGCTTTCTTTTTTGTTGCTTTTTATATATTTTGTTTTATGTTTTGCAGTCGTGTTAATCATTGATTTCAGATTTTATTTGAATTGTGAGAGTTTGCAAGGGAAATGATGACAATGATTGTCCCCCTCATAGCCTCTCATATGCCATATACAAGTATGCAACATAGAGAGTGACTTACAATCTGATTACTTTAACATCATGTGTGTGTGTGAGTAAACGCTGATGCCACTAGATCCAAATTCGGAGCCTTAAATCGTTCATCTTCATTGGGTTTAGCAATGACTATAGTCACCATGATCAAAAGTAAAAAAGATTGGAGTCACTACATGGTGTCACACTATCACTGCACGTGAGTCACTGCATAACGCTAGGAAACGGAGTCACCGCAGAATTAAGGTAGAGATGCAATGAAGTCACTATCGCGACGAGTCACGGAAGGACAATGGGAAACGAAGTCACTGGAGAAAGTAGAGCAATGAAATCACTGTGGCAGTGCTTGTGGTGGCGGGACGGCGGTGGCGGTGGAGATGTTGGCGACTTGGCGGTGACGGTTATTGGATGGCTATAAGGCATTGATTAATAATTAATTATAAAAATGGAAAAACCAAAATAATAAATGTAATAATAAATAATGGCTAAATGATATGGTTAGTCACATTTTTGGTAAAGTTAAAAACAAATCACATTTTTTGTCTTTTGTATATAACTTAGTAATATTCATATAAAAAGGCCTTGTTATATTTTTTACTCTACTTGTATAAAAAGATATTTGGCCGTAAAAATAGCAAATTGCATTTATATTTTTTACATGATTCATTTGAATAAAATTATAAATATTACTCCCTCCGTCCCGTTGGAAGGTTCCATAGCAAAACGACACGGTTATTCAGAAATGGGAAGGAGAAGAGTTGTGGTAGGGCGGCGGCGGCGTTGGAACAGCAGCGGAGGCGGCGTTGGAACGGCAGCGGCGGCGGCCGGAAGAAAAGCAAAGGCAGAGAAGATGGAACGAAAAATTGCTACAAGAAGAGGAAGATGGAACGAAGCGCAGAGATGAAATGTCCGAGAGAGGGGATGAGTTTGGTAAAGTCACTTTTTTGTCCACCTTTAAATTAGTTTTATTTTTGTCAATCCAAACCCTAGAAGTAATAATTTTTCAATTCTTTCATATATTATTATTATTTCTTCTATCTTTTATTTCCTTTTATTTTTCATTTAAATAATAAATAAAAGAAGATGAGGTGAACTACTACTTTCATTTTCAATTCTTTTTTTTTAACCCGGAAGGTAAACCACCAAAATCAGTGGGGTAAATGCCGGGTGTCATTTACCAGAGTTTTATTCTAATTCTAAAATATAGAACTTGATAAAATAAAATAAAAAAATAAGAAATCGAATCAAACCGAACTAAATTGAACCTAGTAATTTTTACTTTGGTAAACCGAACCGAACCAAAACCGAACTGAAACACAAATGGTTTTAGTTTGGTACAAATTCTCTCAAACCGATCAAACCGAAATCGAACCGAAACCGAAGAAAACCGAACCTCAAGTCGAATTGCCCACACCTATATATATATATATATATATATTCTTTTTATCCTTTTTATTCTATCTTTTTTATGTATTTCCATCTCTTTTTTATATTCTTTTTTATCATAGCTTTTTTTTTTATCTTTTTATCTTTCTTTTTCTTTTGGTTACGATATCATATACTACCTCCGTCTCTTAAAACATTGCCAAGTTTGACCGGCACGGAGATTAATAAAGTAAAAACTGTGTGGTGGAGGTTTGTGCAGAGGAGAGAGAATTGACTGGAACCACAAATTCTTTATTTAAAATGGAAAGTGACAAAGTTAGTGGGACATCCAAAAAAGGAAAGTTGGCAAAGTTTTAAGGGATGGAGGGAGTATCAATTCATGTTAGCCGATCCCAAAATTTTTTGGGACTAAGGCTTGGATGTTGTTGGATCCTAGCACCTCATTTCTTTTCCCCGATTCACTCATTTTTATTGTCATAGTTTCTTAGGTTGCCCATTCGGGTTTTTAACCTAACTGACATTTATTCGTTTTATTATTTATTTTGCTTTTGTTTTCTTTATATATGTATATATATATATATATATATATATATATATAGAAAAGATCAGGTATTTTATCATTTCTATGTATATTCATCTCTTTTTATATTATCTTTTTATAATAGCTTATCTTTTTATCTTTATTTTCTTTCTTTTCCTTTTGGTGGTGATATCATGTATCGATTCATGTTAGCCGACCCCGATATCTTTTGGAACTAAGGCTTGGATGTTGTTGTTATAGAAAAAATCAGGTGAGAAGTCCCCCTTAAAATGAGAAGCGAGAAGTAATCTCAACCCTTGGATTTGCATCTAATCTTACAACGCAGTAAACTTATAAACTGAATATAAGAACTTATAACCAATAAATCATAACTTATAAAGCTCTCCATCACAATTACGGAAATGCCACCGCGTCAAAAGAAATTTGAAGGTTTCTGGAGTTATTTTTTGCGGTGTCATTTTCGTAATTATTTTCGAGGGGGTTTATAAGTTATGATTTATTAGTTAAAAGTTCATGTTTTTAGTCTATAAGTTAAACTTCGCAGTTCTCAACCTAAGGGGGGTACTTCTCACCTGATCCCCTCCATATATATATATATATATATATATATATATATATAAATACATTGTAGAAGAAATTCCATGTGTACAATGAGGTGTCTTCTCCCCCTAGCTAACTCGTGCACTCTCTAGTGCTTACCATCGCCATTGCCCGTAGGTTTTTTTTGGAGAGGGTTGGGGATGTAGGGACGGGATTAGGTTTTTCAAGAAATTTTGGAGGATTTTGGGATTAGAGAGGAGTGAGGAGATGATTTTTTGGGGGTTTTAGGATGACTATGAATGAATGGAAGGGTGGTTTTGAAGAAGAATATGCGTAGCTATGGAGGTTGTTTGGGGATTTTACTATTTTAGAGTTTGAGGCATGAAGAATGCAAAAAAAAAAGAGTGACGTCGGTCTGAGTATTTTAGCTGTGTAATCGTTGTGTACACCCAGTCGGGTATAGGCATATACGCTCTCAAGTTATGAGACAGAGAGCTCGAATGTTGATTTTGCACGTACACCTGATCAGGTTTTCTATAAAAAATTCTTGAGATACCCAACTGAGTATTTGCTATACCCAGATGGGTTTTCGAGAGTCGTGTTTGCTATTTTATGCGAACACCTGACCGGGTAGAGCACTGAGTATTTGCTTTAAACACATTGCAAGCTTTAGCCTTTCAATGTGTTTTGAGGTTTTCAATTATAATATATTCATCTGTCACGGCATCACCTTAATCTAAACTATGAGTTTGGTTTAAATATTTATTATTTTTCGATTCACATAGGGCGTCAGGAAGTGAAATAGCTGAACCTATCCTCTCCGATGGTTAGCATACTGACCCTGCTTATCAGACAGGACATAATTATGTTTATCTCAATTTTGTAACATTTTAACATCCTGTGCAGTCTCACAAAAAGATTATGAAGCTCACAAGGTATATGAATTTATGTAATACCATGTTAGATTTATATTTATTTAATCTTTTATGGTAACTATTACTATGTACCTGTACATCTTTATCTCTTTGAGAAAAGAAAATAATTAGTTTGACGTATTTCTCCAGAATAAATTAGAAACGAACTTGGCCAGAAGAGCAGAGCATTACTTCTCAGAAAATAACCGAGTTGTCAAAGGTACATACTCCAATATGACTTCTTTTTAAACTATATATATATAGAGTGTGGATCAAATAAAAAATCGTTATTAATGTGCTAGAAGTGTGAAATGCACTTATAATCACCTCACCTGCACTTGTATAGTTGTATGGTAAGCTAAGTTGTAAAAAATGTACTCCCTCCGTCCCATTGAACTTTGACAACTTTCCCTTTTTGACTGTCCCAAAAAACTTTGACGCTTTCCCGTTAAAAGTACTATTTTGTGATTCTGCTCATTTCTCTCTGCACAAACTTCAACCACACAATTTTTACTATTTTTATTTGTCACATAATTCAAAGAGTGCAAAGTCCATTGGGACGGAGGTAGTATTTTTTAAATACATGATGACATTTTTGTAAATAAGCAAACTTTTTACAAACATGAAAAAGTGCACTACTTGAACACAAAGTGCACTTCAGCGTTGCAAAAGTGAATATTTCGCATTTTACACTTTGAGACTCATTTTTACTTGATCCACACCCTATATATATGTGTGTGTGAATAGGAATATGATACTTTGGTGGAACTAAAGGAGTTGAGGCATGGGCTTCCGGAAACATTGAGGAGTTTGGGAAGCTTATTACAGAATCTGGTTTAAGTTCTATCCAGAACTATGAGTGTGGTATGTCTCCTTTTCTCAATGTGTTTTTATCAATTTGAGCGATGATGATGAAGAAGGTATTGAACAATATGTATGTGTATAAAATACATTTATGCATTATAATGGTTTTCTTAAAAAGAGACTGCAATGTATTATTATTTATGATGCTTGAGCCCTTCAAATAGAAAACATGAAAACGACAAACAGGAAATCCCTTTCTACAAAAGTCCTAAAGAATCTTAATACAAGACTGCCAAACATGGTTGATGAAAATAGTGTCTTAAACAGACGGAGCCTTAGCATCCAATAAAATGGAAACATGCATGCGTGTAAGCTTTCCACATGTACTTGTGTTGGGGTGTTCCAGGTTGTGAACCACTTATACAACTTTACCACGTCCTGCTAAAGGCTCCCGGTGTATACGGAGCAAGGTTCAGCGGTGCAGGGTTCCGAGGGTGCTGTGTTGCCTTGGTGGAATCCGAAAGAGCAGAAGAAGCAGCGGCCTTTGTCAGGAACGAGTACCCCAAGCTCCAAATGGATTTGGTGACACACCTCAAACGGGAAAATGCAGTCTTAATATGCGATGCTGGTGATTCTGCTCGAATTATCTGATAATGATCCAAGCAGAGCAGCCAGCAGTTTGAGCTCCATCCTCCTATATCGTAATTCTCTTCCCAAGTGCCAAGAGCAGCATAGTGCTGTTCTACAAAGCAGCAAAAAAGGTGCGCAGTGGAAAGACAGTTGTGGGGCGCCAAAAGCTGTCAAGTATTTTTGTCTAATTAATCAAGGAATAACCTAATACTCCCCGCCTGTATCTTATTTTACTGTCTTTTTTACGATCTACTCATTATTTAGTTGATCAGTCTACCTCTTTTAGAAATACAGCAGCTCGTCAGTAGTCGTCAAATGCTTTGTACCTAGGAAAAAGTCAACTTGATCATTAAGCTGGAAAGTAGTACGTGTTCCCATTAAAACGTCTATTAAAAAGTCAAATTCTATTTAATCAATTGTGGAGTTGATTTGAAGTTTCTCATTGATATTTTAATGCAAGAATAATACTAAATTGATTGTCTTACTCAATTCAATTCAGACTGTTTATTCAGCAAACAAAATAAATTGCCTCTTATGCAAATATCACTTAGGGTATGTTTGATCAACTAGCTGAAAAGATATTTTTATAAGCTTTTTAGTAACTGTTAGCTTTTAGTGACTGAAACGATCTTAAAAGAAAAAGGTAGCAGTTTGATAAAAAGTCAACTGTTTGATTTAGCTCTGTTTGGTATACAAGCTGTTAGGACTAATTAATGGTAGAAGCTACAGACTTATTCGAGATGTTACTCACTTTAGCATCTGAAAAAAGATCTTTTATTTTTGTAAAAGCTCTTAAAAGTTGGCATGCCAAACATACAACTAGAAGATTCTAAGGACTTTTAGCTAGTAAAGCTAGAAGGCATAGACTTATGCGTACCAAACATAGCCTTAATCTAGACATACACTTTAACCTAGTCAAACATCTTAATCCAAATAGGATTTAATAGAAAAAAAAAGTAAACAGTCCCGAATTATATATGGATATGGATGTTCTCTTGATTGAGTCCTGGAGTAGGTGATACTCCGTGCTTAAGGATGTGTTTGGGAGATGTGTTAATTGGTGTTTATGACCCTCCTTTTCATGTTTGGGAGTTTAAAAAATTGGAGGGAGTGGTTTTGGAGGGCTTTTGTAACCCTTCAAAACCCTCCAAATGCTTAATTTTTAAGTTCCTCCAATTTGGAGTGTTTTGGAGGATAATTAACAAGATAGTAATTTAAGCTAAATTAGAAATGAATATCAGCTCAATGATTTGAATTCATCATATCTCAAAGTGATTTTAATTATAATTCCTTCAAAAACCTTCTCCTTCCAATTTTATTACTCTCAAATACAATGAAGGACTTCCTCACCTTCCCCTCCCTTTCCCCTCCAACAACATACCTCCAAAGCCTTCCCCTCCCCTTCCCTCCAAACTCCCAAACAATACTCTAAGTATTTTCTCAAAGAATGACCTACTATGTTGATGTATGATCGCAACTGAAAAAAAAAGCTTATTGGAGGCGGTTTGAAATGTGTATAAGAATTAAGATAACTCTTTCCTTTTTCCTAGTTATCTTAGGATGTTTTTAGTTGAATTGTTTTCAGTCTCAAACCAGATAAGATCAGATATGACCATACCAGACTTGAATAGCTATAAAATACACAGAGATAAAACTTTTACCAAAGCATATCAGTTCAGACTAGACCAGAAAATTTCACTCCAAGTAGAAACGTGTTTAATGTAGGTAGCTTTATTATAGCTTCCCATTTTTAACATACATTTACTGATTTACATATGCGGTGGAGGGCCTCACCAGTAGTGATGGATTCGGGCCGGGTCGGGCCCGGGCCGGGCCTAGGCCCGGTCGGGCCGTCGGTTCAAGAAAAGTGGGCCCGGGACCGGCCCGCGGGTTGGACGGGTCCGGTTCGGGCCGGGCCACCCGCCCGGGTCACGGGTCGGGTCCGGTTCGGGCCGGGCCGGTTATTTTTTTTTTATATAATTTATATTTATAGTTTATAGTTTTATACGAGTATTAAAAACAAACTTCAATTGCATTTATTTGAAATGAAATGGGAACTACATATAACAGATAAACATTTTGAAAATTGTAATCAATCGGAACTTCCTGCACCTCCCGATCCTTTGGCTTTGTCACATGACTTCATATGCTTGATTGCCATCCCGAATCCGCCTGAAGCCCCCATTATACATTTTTTTTCGCACCATTTGCAAATTGCGTACCACATCCCGGTCTTCGGGTCCTTCTGCTTATCAAAATTATACCGTATAATGGCATTTTGATTTTCCATCTTAACTTCTTGGAGAAGAGAATATGAGAGTAGATAACTAGATATATAATATATTGGAGAATAAGAGAGTAGAGAGATAAGAATAGGAAGAATTGGAGAAGAGATGTGAAAAAATGTTTAAGATTAGGAGTATTTATAGGTTTTTTTTTACCCCCCCCCCCCCACCAACCCCCCCCCCCCCCACCACCCAACCCCCCCGGACCCCCCCTTTACCCCACCCAACGGCTATATAGCCGTTTGGGTTGTCCCCAGCCCCACCCCCAACGGCTAGTAGGAGCCCAAACAAAAAAAAATTTTTTTTAAAAAAAATTGGACCGGACCCGGGCCCGGGCCCGACCCGACCGGGCCGGGTCACAGAAATGCTGAACCGAGCCCGCCCCGCCCTTCCCACCGGTTCGGGCCCATACCCGGTCCCGGACCGCCCGAACCGTGCCGGGCCCGCACAGTACCGGGCCGGGCAGGGTCACGGGCCGGGTGGCCCGAACCGAATCCATCCCTACTCACCAGTGATGGACCCAAAATACTGAAATAGGGCACACATGAATTTGGATTGAGTGTGGTCTGACTCTAGTCCTATTAGGGCATCCTCATTGGGAGGATTATTACAAGATTAAATTGGTGACATGGCAGTTTTTTTAGAGAATTATCAATGAGTGACATAGATTATTTAATAGGATTATTTGCTACAATAATCTGAGATCAAAATATGAATCCGGATTTGATGGAGTATATGGCCCAGGGACCCCCGGTCCACATACTTCCTCTACTACAATCAGGCCCAATAGGCCCAAACGGGCCAAGCCCAGCAAAATGGAGCTCTAAGCAGCCCACAATACGCAAAGGGGTGCCTTCGGCCCTATGGCCGAAGGCTAGCAGTGACGGAATCGAGCTTAGAAACATCACAGGAGAACAAGGCTTGAAAACCAAGCCTTCGGCAACTGCGGCCCTCGGCAGGTAGGAGCCCTCGGTTAGAAGAGGCATCACAGGAGAACAAGGCTTGAAAACCAAGCCTTCGACACCTGCAGCCCTCGGCGGGTAGGAGCCCTCGGTTAGAAGAGCCTTCGGCCCAGCACCCTTCAGCCGAAGGCATCCACCTCGACAGAATATCCTCTTCACATGCGACTGGATCACCGTACCAAGTACAAACGTCACATCCAACCACCGCATTTAATGCGGCCACATGCGAGTGCCAGTGCCACCCCGGTCGAGGTGACCCATCGACCACCAGAAAACTGACACGTGTCCTTATCTAGCATTTATTACTGCTATAAATAGCACCCCTTTCCCCCATTGTAAACCACGCTTAATACATATCGAATATACACTCTCTCTCTTACTTGTTTGCTCTGACTTCTCTCTAGTTATTCTCCGCAATAACCCCTCGGATAAGCTACCCCCTCCGGGTACACGATCCATCATTTGGTGCTCTCGTTGAGAGGTCGAACAATCGAGTAAGAAACCCTCCCCCTTCATCAAACACTAGCCCTCTACCAAAATGGTGAGAACAACACGTGCCAACTCAAAAAACGTAGAAGACAAGAACTTGGCCCTCAGCGACGTCAACGCCCCCGAAGCCTCTCACAAGGCTCCTGAGGGCGGTGTCATCGCTGGGCTGGAACAGGCGGCTGTCGACCTACGCCTTCAGATCCAGCAGAATGCCCCCGATGCCCGCCTCGGCATCGAGGCCAAGAAGAAAAACCGGAGCGATGACCAAGTCAGCCCTCCGGTCCTCACCATCGACGTTCATTCGGCACTCTCCGCCTTCATCCAGACGCTAACTCAGAACCCGGGTGCCTTCGGCACTTTGGTTCCCCTCCAACCTCTGGTCGGGGAGAATATCATGCCTCTCCCTCATCCACACCCCCTCGGGAACCCTGTCCTCCGGATGGGGAACGTCGAGGGGGTCGTGGCCCAAGATACGACCTCCCACAAAGTCCAATCTCGGGACCGCCACAACATGAACAAGGAACCGCCCCGGACCTCCGCCCTCGAGAGACTCGGAGGGGCGCAAGACCGCCGAGGGGTCCAAGACCGCCTCGGGGGGGAGGTGCTCCTGAGGCCTCAGGAAAGTGGCGGATCCGTCTCCAGGGCTAATGAAAGACGTCCCCTTCAGGACAAAGGCAAGACACCTCTCCATGCCGATGACGCCCGTCACCAAATCAACCAGGCCCACTCGGCCCGTGTCCGTTCGCAGGGGGCGGAGGCCTTCCCGAAGGACCCCCGGGACGAAATTATTGCGGCCCTCCAACGCCGACTTGATGAAATGGAGGCCGACAAAGCTCACGCCACCACCTCCACCCCTCATTCAGACCTCAAATACGAGGCCATGATGGCCAAAATGGAGGAATTACAGAAGAAGGTAGCCGAGGGCTCCGGGGAACCCATCATCCAGCTCCGGACCCGGACGCCATTCACCCCAAGGGTATTGGCGGCCCAAATCCCGGAAAAGTACCGAGGGCAACTCATCAAGCCCTATGAAGGAAAAACTGACCCCCATGAGCACTACAACAGGTATCAAAACAGCATGATGATGATGGGGGCATCAGATGAATACTTATGTCGTTGGTTCCTTTCCACCTTGGAGGGACCAGCATATGAATGGTTCAATCGATTGCCTGAGGGCAGCATTGACTCTTGGCAAGATCTTGCCCAACGCTTCCTCACCCATTTTGCCGGAAGGAAGCGCGCGAGAAAACACTTCTCCCAGCTCCTCTCCGTCAAGCAACAGCCTGACGAAACACTTCGGTCCTTCATTGACCGGTGGATGAAGGAGACAGACGAGGTCGAGGGCGCCGACGAGCGTACCCTCCTCGTCCTCTTCCAGGGGGTTCTCCGCAGCAGCCCCTACGCACGGAGCCTCATCACCGACCCCCCAAGATCATACCTCAGAGCACTCCAGCGGGGGAGCCTATACGCTGACGCCGACGACCTCCACTCCTTCAAGAAGAACGAGGGCCAGCCCTCGAAGAAGATAAACAACACGCCGGCCCCAAATGTGCCCTCGGCCGGAGGCCGAGACCATGGAAGCCACACCCAGCAGGGCCGTAACGAACGTCAATGGCGCCCTCGGCTGGACATGCCGAGGACTCCCCTCACGCACCCGGTGAGCACTATCCTCAACTATGCGGAAGAGCAGGACCTTTTCCCCAAGGACCCTCGGTCGGCGAGGGA